CCAAATAGGAAAGTTTTGTTTGTTGACGTAACCATTCAACCAAAAGTGAGCTTCATCGCTAAACAAAATCATATGAAAATCGGAATCAACGATAATCTCGTTTTGGACCCACTCATCGAATCTACGCCTTGTTAGGTGATGATGTATCTTCAATTCTTGCATAAATTGGATTATGTAAGTAGGCAAAGCAAGATCATTCCGCAAAATCTTCCATAAAGTGGATGGACACGTATCCAACTGTTGTACACGATGGCAGATAGACTGATTCGCACCTTTCTGTATGCTACGTTCTACAGCAGCAACAAGTTCCTTCTGTTTGCACTGTACGACGTGTCTGTGGATGCATATTATCAGTTAGAGTAAACGCGGTGCAAGAACGTTCCATGGTAAATCGATTAATTGCTCTGATGGACTATTATGTAGACCATAAAAAGATGTAGTGCGCAACACGTAATTCGAACAAAACCACAATTTTCAAAATAAATTTGTACAATTTGGAAGCGTTGTTCAGACGTCAAGTCTATTTATGCTGAAATGCCAAACCCGGCTTAACATAAATTACTTGACAGCTGTCAAAATGGCCGACAGTTAAAAAAGTGTTACCAACTTAAATTTCTATAGATCTAAAAAAAACACCCTTTATAACAATAAACTGTAAGCGCATTCTTAATTTTTATTGTCATTAATGTGTTTGTTAACACCTTCGACCAAAAACTATGTATTCTCTTAGTTTTGGGTACCTGAAATCCGGATAATTGGATATTGATTATTGTTATTTGACACGAAAATCTTTACTTAATTTGTATTATCGTATTGAGCGTAGAATATTTCGTTGGTTAATTTGTTTAATCACCCTTGTAATTTATTATTCTCCATATTAAATAAATATTGATTGTAGTACGGGTCATTTTATCAGAAAACTGACTACGAGAAGTCTCCAAAATAGGGAAAACTAGAAGAGACTGGAAAAGATCTATGGTAAGCACTTGACACTAGTAATGATGGTGATTCATTATATAAAATATAATACCGGACACAATAGGAAAAGTCCCAAATAATAATTTAAATGAAAAAGGGATGTTATATACTAACCACAATAAGAGATTCCACCCATGATGGTAATTTTGATTCTTCTTCGACAGTCAGTAAGTTTGGAAAAGCGGAAAATTCTAGCAGAATATTCGAGGCTATTCCCATTGCTCTTTCATAGTCACTTTCACTTTTCCTCGACGTTGCATTAGAGAGTGACAATATTTTATTTTTTGTTATAAAGTTGCTGATGTCGATAGGATTAAAATCACATTTGTAGTTTTCTTGCAAACGGGCACCTAAAACATAAAAAAATATTTATTTGTTAATTCATGTTTTTATTAAATTAAATGTGTAATTAGTTTTTCTGTTGAAATTGTTCAGTTCTATGTTCAATTATCCCTTTTTTTGAAAATTCTTCAAGCCTGAGGTACGTATACTTCTTGATATATACAAATAATGTTATAAACTTGTGAACGAGTTCTATTATTTCTACCTTCAATATTGTTTATGCATTTACACATATAATTGTTGTGCATTAATACTGTGCAGCAAGATCTCATTCAAGGGCACGTATGGCTAATCAAAACAACAACGAAGAGTGAAAAAACGTTAGAGAATCGTCGAAAAAATGTGGAAAGAGTTCAAAAAGTGTCAAAAGTATTGCAAAGCAGTAAACAATTCGTTAAAGAGCATGTATGACTAATTGAAATACCAACGAAGTATGAAAAAACGCCACAGAAGCATTAAAGAGACATAAAAAGCATTGAAAAAGTGTCAAACGCAATAGAGTAAAAAGCATCGAAACACAAAGGGAGCGACGAAACAGCATAAAAAGTCGTAAATCATATTCTACCGATGTTTTTTTTTTGACATTTTTTCTAACTCTTTTTTTTATACGATTTTAATGCTTCTTCAAACAATTTACATATGATTTTAAAAATTTTTTGTCGACGTTCTCTCGACGAATCTTTGACGTTTTCGACGATTCTTCGACGTTTTCGATGCCTTTAAGCTTTTACGAAGCATTGCAACGTTATTTTGATTTGTTTTATTGGGACCGTGCAAGTTCGGAAAAGCGACAGCTGGTGTCGTAAATCAGCAAAATTTACTGCGCTTTTATGTTAGATCGAGGTAACCGGATAACTGTCAAGGACGTGGCCCCAAAAAAGAATAAGAAGAAAAAGTAAGATTGAGGTTATGTCGGTATGTTATTGAAAGGTAAACGTTGATGTAGCGTAAATACAAATAAATATATTATTGAATTACAGCATTACTGTTAATATGGATTCAATAATAAAAACTGGATTTGATGAATTAGGAAAAATAAATTACCATAAATAATGCTAATGCATAAATTAGCAGGTTAAGCCCATGATATCATCATATTGGTTTGAACAATTAATTCTTTCCCTGTAAACTTTTGGACAGCGAATATATCTTAATGCATCTTTAGAAAAACTTGAACTTGATGCATTCTTGTAAACTTTAAAAAAATAAAATTTAAACATTAAACTTGATTTTTGGGTTAAAATGAACTCTAAGTGAGTGTTATGAAACTAAAATTTACACTTAAAAGTGAACTTTTATTTATTATTTATTTCAAACTGACTTTAAAATCGGGCGCAAGAATAATGTATAATTTGGGTTATGTTACTTATGCTTTTTTATTATATAAATCCACTTTTCTCTTTGTAGTAGCTTTGTGCTTCGAAGTTGGTAACGAATAAAACTTAAATTGACAATTTTTTGTTGTATTTTTATAATTTATAACACAGCATTTCCTAAATCCCATTTTCTTCAGAGACAGAAGGTGTAAATGTAAATAAACAAAACGAATATGAAATATGACAATTGACAATATGAATTTATGAAATCTATGAAATGTGCACTAAAAAATGCAAAATTTCTCCGCTACTCGCGCACGATCGTTTCTCGTATCCCCTCCAAGTACTTGCACGTCGCCAATAGCGATTAAAGGCTTTTTCAATGCTCTACATAAAGTTCTCTCGACGATTTTCTTGTGCTTTTCAATATTTTTTTAGGTTGTTTATGTCTAAAAAACCATTTTTATGCTTTTTAATTTACGAAGGTGTAACGATGAGTCCAAGCCATCACCGTTAAACCAGCGTGCGCGCGAACCAACCCATAAAGTAGGAGTGTATCGACAGTAGAAAGGGCAAAACTAATTACCAAGCTCCGCTATATAAACCGCAACATTTCCTCATAGAGATAGAATCGACAGGTGTTGACTGAAGGTTCTCTTCTTCCCTACCCCGGCTTGTGGACGTGTTGAGTTCACAAGTTGTTCCGTCCCATACCGCCGTTACCCGAAGAGCGTGTTGAGCTCTTCACTACCCGTACTCTGAAGCAGTCGTGTTAAGACTGTCGAGGAGTGTCCTATTAACCCGAATCACTTAAGGGACGTGTTGAGTTCCTTTCCTTTCTTTGTACCTATCGTCCGCTGTTATTAAATCGATACAACGTTCCCGTAAAATTTCAAATACACACTCGCTTGCCGATAAGACTAATTTCATATGACAAGGTCAAACTTAATTTGAATAAATAGGCCAGGTACTGAGAAGACTAAACCATATTGTAAATATGTACATAAGATTTTTGTCAATTTAATTTAAGGAAGACAATAAAGTTTTATTTTATTTTGAACTCTCTCTGACTGTCCAAAAGCTACCCGGATAGTGACTCCTACGAGAGGACATCACAAAGGTACTATGTCAATTTCTCTCGATGATTTCTTGACGTTTTTCGCCACCTTTGGAGCTTGTACCACGCTTTTCAGCGGTTTTTTACTTTTTTATACCTATTAAAACATGATTATGATTTTCTACCTTACAAGGGCACTATATAAAGTTCTCTTTTTTCTGTCGATTTTCAGCGTTTTCGCTTTTATGTGACGTTGCATTTTTTTTTATCTATTAAAGGTTTTTTCAATGTTTTTCCAAACATTTTAATGATTTTCTAGTTAGCCATGCATAACCCCGAATGATCGTTCAATGGTTAACGTAACCAATCAAAAACACGACGAAGAAGCGTAAAAAAAGCGTTATAAAAATGTCGAGACGTCTTGAGAAACATTTATATGTCAATCGCCAAAAAAAGCGTGAAATCGCTTCAACTAGCGTTGGAGAACAACGAAAAACAGCTGCAAAATTCAAATCGTACGCTTTATATATTTTTACGGTCATTTTGTTGAGATTTTTCGACTAAAAATCAACGCTTTTAGACGTCTTTCGGTTCTGAAAATGTCGAAAGACATTCAGAGCATTCAAAAATGTTGAAAGCACTGAAAGTGTCGAATGTCCTACAAAAGATGCTAAAAGACGCACTAAAATGACATCGAAAGGCATTAAAATACGGCTAAAATGGGTCCAAGGCCTTAAATCGTATACTTGCGATGTTTTCGTGACGATTTTTTAATTTTTTCTACATTTTTTCCTAGCTTTGCAACGCTTTTGACCAGATACTTTTTCACAATGGGTCAATGATGTAAACAAGAAGGCCCTTCAGGGCACTTTGACCTTGGGTTTAAATGGGTGGAAGTTTAAAATAGTGAACAATGCGTTTAATGGGTGGCCAACCTAAAAAAGCAACGGAAGCGTAAAAAACGTTATAAACACGTCGAAAGGTGTCCAAACTCTGTCAAAAGCGTTTAACTGTAGCAAAATCGTAATAAACGTGTGGAAATTGATCGAAAATGTGGTGAAAACCATTGGAAACCGATAAAAATATCTCGCATCGTACGATTTCGATATTTTGTAAACAATCTTTTAAGTTCTTTTACTTTTTATCTTTTATTGTTGCTTTTATGTTTATAAGACGCTTTGGTGCGACACTTTTTAGTGTTTTTACAATGCGTTCACACCCTTTTTATCTCAAAAAGATATTTGATAAAAAATAGGAAAGAAAATGACTTACATCATTAAAAAATGGAATTTTTGTATCAAAAATATTTACCTAAATAATATATAAGAATAATACTTACCTAATAGAGTTACTAATCGTACGGTTCTACTATCTTTATCACAGGTTAATGACTGCACAACAGATTTGATATCAGTGTTCGGTAAAAGTTTCACTTTTATGAAGTGCGTGTAAAATGACTTGTATTCTTCTAGACATTTAATAAAATGTTTGTTTTCCACTTTTGCTATTTTTGGCAAGGGTTCGGCTGTTTCTATAACCGTCAATGGTCGTTTGTCAGGTACAGGAGTGTTATTTTCCGAACTCATTGAATCATCTTCGTTTTTGGATTCGTCAAGTCTGGAAGTCGACTTGGATTTTTTGTTTTTGCTTTTTTTGTCAATTCTGGGACTAGTTTTTTCCTTCTTTTTTAACATTTGATTGCTGTAGGATCTTTCTCTATTATTTTCACCCACTGTTAGCTCATTTTTACTAAAATTGCTCAGGTTTTCATTAATCTTGGAATCTGATTTACTTTTTTCTAATATTCGCGTTTCTCCATTTTCAGTGCTGTCTTCTAAATTTACAGAATTCTCCAAAGTTTTCTCTAACGAGTCGTGAAGTGTTGAATCTAGAGATTGATTTTGTACACTTGTATTCTGCATGAGTGTGTCTGGTTGAATTTTACTCAGGATCTTTGTGCACAACTGCAAACTCTCCGATATTTCGTGTTGGTTCAGATCAGCCACGTTTGACTTTACAGTGGACACTAATTTCCAAAATAAGTTCGGCAAGATATTGTTTGTGTTTTCTGTATACGATTCTATAGGAATTATGTCCAATAAAAAGTCAGTCAAAATACAGAGCTCTAAAATGTGTGGAGGCCCACTTCCTATTTCACTCACTTGATTTCTATCTCTATATTTGTAAGTTTTAATATTCCTAACGGCTTCCACAAATAATTTCTCTATGTAAGACCATATATAGTGCCTTTGTAAAGTGTTGAATAGTAGATTAGCGTTTTTTATTAACTCTGGACAATTCTTATTGACAAACTGTTTGCTTAAAACATTTTCTTCGTTTTTTAAACTAGTCAGATCTCCTGTAAAAGACACGCATCGTATAGCACTATTTTTGTTTTTCTGTTGGTACCAACACGACAAATACAGCGTTCTAAACACATCACATAAAATATTGTCTAAAATTACAGTTCCTATCTGCGGTTTATCAAATAGAGAGATGAGCAGCCTATATGGTTTTATGTCAATGGGAGTTTCCGTGCTGCATTTTTTTAAAATTATTTTTAAAGCATCGTTTAGCAAGTCGTAGGCTAAAATATGTTGTTCTGGCGCTGGCTCCTCTTCCAGTTCGTTTTCAGACTGGAGTGCTAGTAAGTTATTGATTTCAGATCCCAATAGCCAGGAATACAGGCGCCTAAAACAGATAATCATGATCAAAGAACTTGGCATAACTCAAATGGATGGTTTATTAAAGGAAGTAAATATGGCAGGCATAGTCAAAACAAAATAATCGTTTTTTTTTTGACGATTTTCTTGTGAATAATTTCCAAAAACCTTTTTTTTACATACACACATTAAAAAAGGCTAAGGAACACCACCGTTATTACCATGGACGTATAAACACAGGTGGACTCAGTTATTTACATAACATTGTGAAGTCAAAATTATTTGAATAGGTCACATTCTCAGCATCTTCAACTGTTGTCACGTTTTTTTTATTAAAATTTCTTATTCGCGAGTCGCTGAAAATATTACTCCGTATTTTATACTCTACAGGTGCTATCAAACCAAAATAATAATTTATTGGTTATATTAATATATTTAATTGTAATCAACATATCAAATGTGCACATAGTGTGCATTACCATTTAATAATAGCGTATAATAGCGGTATTTACATTTCTCTGTCTTATGGCTCTACGTCAAACTTCAAATGCTGTGCTGTTCCATATTTGTTTACTTTTTACAGTAGATGAGGAAAAGTTGTTTTTCGATATCTTGGCGGTATTTTGAATGATATTTGTGAAAAGTGAAATAAACATCTTATAATAATGGTGCTACAGTGTTGCATTTGCAAAAAACGAAATATTTACATCCCGATCTCTCATTTCATTTGTAAGTACTGTCTATTTACATTATTTAAGATGAGGAACTGAGGAAGCGGGTTTGTTTACATTTTAAAACATGTCTTTCATAGGCATACTATTGAGTTTATTCATATTCATTTATGTATTAAATAAGATATGAGTTCATGAAATTGGTAGACATTTTTAAATTGTACGTAGACATCATCTGATTAAAAAATATATGTTTAGTACCTTTTTAATTTAATATTTCTCATGGATACAAATAAACTAGTGAATGAATGAAATGAATAAAACTCATTTATTTTTCTATGTAGGTTTCCAACTAAAATTGACGATCGAACTATTTGGGTAGCAAATTTAGGAGAAAACGAAGATTTTTATTGTAGCATTATTTTATACTATTACCTATAAAATTACCTATTCAAAAATTAACTTGAATTCAACTATATTTTATTATATTAATTTTAAAGCAAATAAAATTGTATTTTAATTTTTATATAAAGACGTGATTTGTTAATAGTTAAACTCTCGTTTTTTTAAATTCTTTGAACGTGTTTTTATACATTATTACTACTTCCAATTTTTAAAGTCTGAATAATTATCCCCGCGAGTAAAAATTCAAGCACGCTTATGCTCATTGAGGAAGCATCACATTCTATCCAAGCTTCAAAACGTTGTGTGTTAAAAGTATGTTATTGCTGTGTCCATCTGTGTTTATACGTCCATGGTTATTACATATTTTTCAATCAAAACTCAAAACTAAAATTTGAAAAATTTTTATCTACAAATCAAGGTATGCCATGAAAAATGATCTGTCAATTACACTGTTTGATTAAAGCAGAAGGGGCAGCGATTCAAATGCGTACGGTTAATTGCTTCAAATTGTAAAGAAAAAGTATTTCATATTTTAAGATAGTGTGTATTTACTTTAAAATTTTACTAAAACAAGTTTATTAAACGCAAATATAGTCATGAAGCCCCGGCATTTAACACATGTTTAGATGGTATGTGCTGTGAATATTATTAAGGCTAATCTTTCACAAGCTGATGTTGCACGTAATTTTGACACGTGTCTCGGAGCGTGATTTCGCTCTTGTGACGTGGATCTTAACAAATTGGCAATATCGCTGAAAGACATGTACAGTACATTCAACCAACTTACACCTCTAAACGATTAATGGAATTCACAGAAAAACTTTCGTTGTAGTAAAAGGCACGGTAAACTGCACTGGAGTTCTCCATAATCTCTTTAATTACTTAGTCTCGTAGATGTTGTTGAATAGCTTGGAAAGAGCTGTGATCTGGTGTGCCTCTAATAGCTTTAAAATTTCACCATGCACCTCACTAGGTCCTGGTGATTTCCCATCTTTAATCCGTTTAATGGCCATAGTTACTTTTTCGTTTGTTATTTCTGGGCCGTAGGGATTGTTTATCTCAATCGGGCTTCGTGCTGCATCTTCGAATAATTCTTGCATATACTATTGCCCATCTTCGTAATTTATCTTCAGTTAAATCTTACGTTATCAATATCTTACGTTAAATCAGAAAATACGTCTCCTTACTCGAAAATTATTTTAATTATTATAAAAAGATAATATTCTCTATTACCTGTTTAATGACATATCTCTCCTAAGGATTGTCGTTAAAGCTGCTGTTACCAGTCTGACCATGTCGGCGTAGAGTAATTGTTGGTTGTTCATAGGAAAGCAGACCATTAGCAAGTCCAATGCCGATCTCTGTACCAAGACGCTTGAGTCCTGAACTGCCGCACACAAGCCAGATACCTAAAAAACAAAAAGATTATTACTATATTTTTCGATCGATCAGTCGATCATTTATACGCAGCATAATAATCGGTAGACTAAAGTAGGTGGAGTCTGAACTCCACCGAGGTTCTACTATTTCGTTTCAAAATTCTGTTGCGAGTTCCCTCTCCTCTCGTTATTTTAAAGAGAATATCTCCCCGATAAATTTGTTCACATCATTTTCTCCACCATTTCTCTCACAGAATCAAACTTTATGCAGTTACACTCTCTTTCATCCGCCCAACGCTCACACTCCAACATCATGTGTGTCACAGTATCCGAAAGACCACAGTAAAGGCACTAATCAGACTGTGTCCTCCTAAACCTGAAAAGGTAGCTACGGAAGCATCCATGGCCTGTGGGCATTTGCGTCAGATAATAATCCAGCTACCTATGTCCACAGTCCACCCAGCCTAGAAGGTTCGAGATTAGCGATTTCGTCCACTCCGCCACATCACGTAAACCTGAAAAGGTAGCTACGGAAGCATCCATGGCCTGTGGGCATTTGCGTCAGATAATAATCCAGCTGCCTATGTCCACAGTCCACCCAGCCTAGAAGGTTCGAGATTAGCGATTTCGTCCACTCCGCCACATCACGTTTTGCCTCCCACTCTTGCTGCCAGAGACCAATTGAAACTAATCTCTCGGCCAGCCTTATCTCAGTCACCTCTCTAGGTGTTCTTCCAATGTTCCGCCCCTACGACTATGAATCCTGGCCCTTTCATCTGTCAGCACATGTAAAGGAACACAGCCGGTGATCGTCCACAGAGCGGCACCTGACTAAATATTTGAGACTGCTCCTTAATAGATATGTTCAATCAGAAATTAATCCCTTAATTTGTAATTTCACATTATTCTTAACTTCTTAATCTTATATAGTTTCACCGTGTATAAGTGAGACTTGTAAAACCATAGCGTACAACATTTTAATAATTAGTTCATTTACCTACAACTAAATAAATTGTCGAATAATATGTTTTCTAATTTAACTTCCTAAGTGTCGCAATTACGACCTGGATTAAATTGTAATGTAAGCTTATAGTTCAAAGTTATTGGTATGGCATTATAAAAGCAATAACCTCTGTGCTGAGGTATGAATTATTTGTGAGATTATAAATTGGGGATTTGAGCTCATGTGAGCACAGTTTATTATAAGTAGTTACCTAACCAACATTATATTGTGTAATTACTAGTATATAGTTATTACTAGTATATATAGTTTTCGGGGTTATTTCTTGAACTGGTTAAGGTCATACTTACAACATCGTAAATTCCTAGTAAAAGTCGATAATAAGAAGTCATCTGTTTTTAATCTTGATCGAGGTGTACCGCAAGGATCCGTATTGGGACCCCTAATATTTCTTTTATATGTCAATGATTTGACACATTTTTTAACTGCAGACCATATAGTTCTTTATGCAGATGATTCAACAATTGTAGTTGACGAGTCAAATGAAGTCGAACTCATATCAAAAATGAACTTAGTAGCACAGGAATTTACAACCTGGTGTAAAAGGAACTCTTTAATGGTAAATGCAAAGAAAACTATTTGTATGCAGTTCTACTCGCGCTTTAAGCCATCCCATGGTTATAAAATCACAGTTAGTTCTGAGGAAATACCTTTTAGTGATGCAACATTATTTCTTGGTAGCATTCTAGAAAGTAATATGAAATGGGATGAAAATGTCATTAAAGTCTACAAAACAGTGAATAAGGGTTACTATGCGATCCTTCAGTTGAAAACTCTATTTAACACCAATCAATTGATAAGTGTGTATTATGCATTGGTTTATTCATATATGGCCTATAATGTTATCTTATGGGGAAACTCTAGAAACTCTTCTAGAGTTTTTATAACTCAAAAGAGAATTCTTAGATTGATATTCAATATTAATAATAGACAATCATGTCGTAAATATTTTATTGAACACAGGCTCTTGACTTTTCATGCTTTATATATTTATAAGTGTATTATTCACGTCAAAACTAAATTTCAAAATTTTACCCTCAACTCTGACTTTCATAATTACCCGACAAGACACGGGAGGTTGATAAGCGTGTGTAAACACTCCAAAACTCTCTTTGAAACTAGTCCTGATTTTGCAGGATCTAAATTTTATAATTGTTTACCACTTAATATAAGAAATGAAAAAAATATTCAAAAATTCAAAAATAAATTAAAAGCATGCTTGGCCCAATTATGCGTTTACAACCTAAATGAATATTTTGACTTAATAAAAGACTACAGAGAATAAGGACCGACGGGTTCAGAGACGCTCTATATTGCATATCTTTGTTTTTTATTTTTATATTAATCTATATTTTATTGATTTTGTTTTATGTAATTGTCCTATATAACTTGTTGATCATGCTTTATGTACTATATGACTTGCCCTATATCACAATCTGATCTGATGGGATTAATAAAGAATATTCTATTCTATTCTATGTCGATAAAATCAACAATTTTCTGCGTAACTTCAACGTTTTATTATATTTATCATCGTCGATCGACAAGAAGCGGACAAAGGATGTGACTTCTCCAATAAAGACTTTAAGGTCTTTAAATTTATGTTCTGAAGTATCCCTGATTTTTTTTAGTTCTGTTTTCATATATGATAGCTTTCTAGCCTATAGTGACAACTATAATCTGATATCATTAGTCACCATTTCAATTTGTTGTGCAGACTCAAGAATTTTGTGAAGCTCACCTCTAACAGCAATGTGTGTACACAAGGAGATGCTACAATATTGCATTCTACAGGAAATTGTGGCAGTGACACTGACTTGTGGTCATCGAGTGATTCGGTAACAGGTAGTTTGAAGAGTGATTCGTTCCTTCCTCCTTTATCATCTGACTCGTCTTTTGGAGAGCATCAGTATAGTTAGAGAGCATAATTCATTTTTTTAATCAGCAGTTTGACCTACACGCGGCATCAGTCTTATCTGTATTTGTTTTTTGCGAATATGAACCGTTCTAAGTTATTAGATTTGTGTAACGACAAGGACTAGGGAACGTGCTAAAGTGCGCGAATCAAGGACACGATGTAAGAACTACCGCAAATATCATTAGTTAGGTACTTCTATTTTATATCAGCGAAGAAATTAAAAAAAGAATAGTGCTTGCCAATAAGTGCTATTATGGCTTGAGGAAACAGATGGCACCAAAACTATTAAGAAAAATTAAAATTACCATATATAACATACTAATAAGGCCAGTGTTAACACACTGGTCAGAAACGTGATCACTCATACATAACGACCAAGAACTGCTTAGACGTTTCGAGAGAAAAATTCTTAGGAAAATATATGGAGAAGAACAGGGTTTGTGGCGTAGGCGCTACAACTTTGAATTATACAGAAGTTTTGGGGAACTTGACGTTGTAAAATTTATTAAATTAGCACGCCTTCGATGGATAGGACATGTAATTAGGCGAGATGAAGATGCAACGATCAGAAAAATTTTCGACCGAAGAGGACCAGTGGTAAGACGATCCAGAGGAACACCAAAACTTAGGTATCAATATAACATAGAGCATGATCTAAAATCCATCGGAGTTAAAGCATGGAAAAGAGTTGCCAGAGACAGGGGCGAATGGAAGATTGCTTTGAAGAAGGATTTGGCTCATAACAAGCCGTAATGCCACTGACAATGTCTTCTATTTTATATCTTATTTTATTATTCTGTCAGTTTATTTTCCATCTAGCTCCTGAGCCCCTAAAAAAGTGTAGAAATACTTCTACAAGGATGAACTTTACCTGATATTACTTACATACAGAAAAATTTATCTATCAAACAATTTAAAAATAAAAACATAGAAAAGACTAAATATTAAGTTAAAGACTTGTGTAAAGTAAAAGTTTTAATTGTTGAACCAATGTTTTAATAACGCCGTAATTATATTTTAGCTTATTAATAGCTCTAGCCTTTTCCCATAACTTATAGACACTTTATAACATTTATTAATAATTTAATATGATTCTGAGACTTACCATTAATCCTATGTCGTTCCCCATTAGAAAAAGCTGGTCTTCCATAGATAACTTCCGGCTGTAATGTGCTAAAACGTAACTAATGGCAGGTAATCGGACTGGACTGTTGTTTGCAACGCATTGCCAGATACACGTGTAAAAATAAGGGCTTTCCACGCCCTCGCATACATTTTCTAAAAGTAAATTCGTCCTACAAAAATTTAATATGCGTTAACAAAGAAATTCAATTTTTTAAACTTTAAACTACATAAACATCAAATAACTAACTTATTAAACGGCAAAACAATTATAAAAATAAAAAAAAGACATTGACAATTAAAAGATTTTCTTTAAAATATCATAGCTCATTTATCTACAGCTTCAGTCAGCTGAGGACTGAAGACTGACAAAGAAGATAATATGCTAATTAAGTGGTATTCCTGTGAACAGTTTTATTATATCCTTCTTTGTCGCGAAAATTACGGGTCTCCTATTTTTTTTTTATAAATCCACATAAAAAACCATGATGGTTTTTGATATGCCCCAACTATTGCACATTCAGCCCAGAAAAATTCTTTTTTGCATGTTTTGTTTACTTTTGGTAATTAATTTGTTTAAAAGTACCTGTTGAAAATGTAATACATTTATATTGTGTATACTTCATCTAATTTACATACCGATGCACGTCATTATCTACGTCAGAGATCGAAGTTGACATAGTTGCCAAAGTATACAAAATCCTGACTCCATTTTAAATCAAATAGATCAAATAATTACTGCAAAAGTATTAGCATCTCTTTACAACGACTATTTAAATTCTTACGTGACATTTTTGAAATAAAACACACTAATTTTGTTCTAAAAAGAACATATTTTATTAAATAGGTAAAAATATAAAACAAGAGATATTCACTTAAAAATTCAAAATATTAAAGAACAAAAAGTGCCAACACCGCAACTGTCAAATAAGTGTTACCAATTTATGCCAAAATTTCACCTTCGTTCGATTACAGTTACCGTGTGTTCCGAACAAATGTTCTTCATAAAAACGCTTTATAATGCATTTATAAAAATTAAATTAAACATATTATTGTGTATTTCTTCAAGTTAACATTAATAGAAATCTTTAAATATTATTTCTACGCGTATATAATAAAATATGTCTAGTGGCTATAATGCCAGTGTACTCGGCAAAGTGATTCTAAAAAAGAACACACCTACCGCTTAAATTTTTCGTATTGATATCATGTGACGTCACGGGCTATGACACCGATGACGTGCATCGGTATGTAAATTAGATGAAGTGTATATAATGTATATTGCATATTGGAGAGCAGTGGCGGCTCGTGGCTTGAGAGACAAGGTCGGCAAGGTATTTTTTGTCTTCACAGATAGGTATACCGTCCAATAAAGACTTCAATCATCATAGGAGATTTTTGTTTTCTTGTTTTTTGTTTTTTTTTTGTTTTTTCCTTTAAATTTAGAACCTAAACATGTTTATAAATTAACTCTAGTCTACGTTGTTTGGAAGTAGCAAAATAGGTAATAACGTCATCGTAAAATTTATTAGAGTTTGAAGAGATTTTAAAAGTTATTTTTTTCTATTGACATTTGAGACAAGCTTGACATTCTCTCTTGTTTCATGGTATTTCGACAATAATTTTTTATTCTTTTGAGGCAAGAGAAATCTCGTTCATTTGAGGCAGACGTTGGTGGTAATGAGAGAATTAATGACAATAATGTTGGATATAGATAAATAAATTTGAATATTTTCTAGCAGTGTCATCTATTGGCTACTTTACTAGTTGAATAATGTATCACTTTCCTTTTTTAGGGTAGTAGCAAAATAGAGTAAACACGTGTTTCATTTTGTTCATCAAATCTCCATTTTTGTTTCAGAACGTTATAATTTCTCAATAAATAATTTATTAATTTCGGTAACAGTTTGTTGTAATGAATTGCAATATATAAAATTATACATATCTTGTAACTTATCCCATCTTCCGAAAATATTTGGATCAGCATATAAAACTTTTAATTCATTTTCTAATTTTATTTTATTAAAGAATGATGGATAATTTTTAATCAACCTGTCTAATAAATATCTTGGAAATTCTTTGGCGTAACTTTTAAATTTTAAATCGTCAAAGAGGTCAAAAATTTGCAAATCTTCAAAATTCGAAAAACGAGTATCTATTTGCATAATTATATTATCCAAAATTTCAAAATATAGGTACTCGTTTTTCGAGATCTGTTTCTTTGTCATGCCTTTTTTTTGGGGGGGTTCGGAAATAGCAAGTGAGTTCAAAACGTCACTGCGTATATACTGGAAATTACTATCATTACGAAAATCTGACTGAGATTTTGCACCAGTCTTGTTATTCTATTTTTGGAATGAATAATGTCAGTAAACTGATTTTGAACAACATTGAATATCAAATCGTTTGGGTAAACACTTTCTTAAAAATATTTAAAAGTATGTTAAAAGAGTAATCATTTAACAAAGTTTTCAAACCGATTGCTTTATGGATCGAGATATCATCACTTTCAAAATCGTCACATTCAATAATAAAATCAAAAACTTGCAAAAGCTGTTCACGAAAATCTGCTACAGTGAAAACTAACCGAGATTTAAAATTCCATCGCGTCTGACAAACTGTTGGCAATTTTTTCGAAACAAACCGTTCTAAAACATTAGTCCGTTTAGGCAAGCTTGAGAAAAATGAAGCAAATCCGCTTAAACTGGCAAAAAAAAGACGACATTCTTTAATTTTCTTACATGTATCTTGCAAAACTAAATTTATTCTATGTGCATGACAATGAGTAAATAAAGCTTGCGGTGCAATAGTTTTAACTTTTGCCTGGAGACCATTTAATTCACCAGACATCACGGCAGCGCCGTTATAAGTTTGCCCTACCAATTTATTTTTGATATCAAAAAATTTTAATTTGTCCTTTAAAACACCAAAAATATGTTCTGCCTTATGGCTTTTACTCACGTCTGTAAAACCTAAAACCTCTCATAGATATTACCACGTAACGCGTATCGAACAACAATAATTGACAATTGTCAATGACATAATATGTCGGTAGTTTCATCTACTTCTAGTGAAAAGCAAATGGTTTCCTGAATCTCAGATTCAATAATGTTACTCAAAATGTAACTAATTGATTCTTTTAATTAATTCTGGATTGTTTTAGATACACCGCTAAATGTCTTCGAATCAGAAAGTAAATTAGAAAATTCCAAATCGTATTTCTTAAACATTTTTATTAGTTCTCTATAATTACCTTGATTTAACGAATGCTCTGATTCATCGTGTCCCCTAAAAGATAATTCCTGACAACTTAAAAAAATTACAATAACTGCGTGATTATTTTTTACAATTTCGTTATGTTTAATAGCATTTTCACGTTGGGCATTATCTAATGAAACATGGATATTTTGTTTTCCAAATAAATCTAATTTAATGTGGCTGTAAGTATGATCTTTCGAAATAACACGTTTATGTAAAACCCTAAATAATTCCTTTAAATTATCGTATAATATCGTATAATATCGTATAATATCGTATCGTAATATCGTATAATATCGTATCGTAATATCGTATAATATTATAACCAGATTCACACCACGGATTTTGATGTTTGCCCCTATTTGTCGAAACTAAAATGCAAGGCCAACAAAAAAGTTTTAACTTTAACCGTTAACTATTTACGGCAGACGTAACGTATCACAGTATTACTTTAGAAAATAAAAATAAATCACAAAAAGATAGGCTAGTTCGTGCACTGAATATAACTTCAGTTTACTACAAAAATGAAATAACATTTCGTCCTACGCTCGCAATGTACAGTTCGCGACCAATCACCAATCCAAATGAAACATCGGCAAATGTAAATCTGCCGGACTTAGTAATTAAGTTCATATGAAAGAAATGTATATTTGGTTGCTAATCAACCAATATTCCGTTGATTTTTACAAGTAAAGTCAAGGTTGGGATCGGCTAGCCGAAAAAACAAAACGTGCATTTTCAAGAATTCATAGGCGGATGGATGTCTCCGATATCGGAACATTTATTTGAAAAGTGTCTACGCAAGGATCACTTAACGCTCAGATTGGACGAATTCTTTAAAAACCATGAATAAAATTTAGTCTGGTCGAATTCTTTTAAAAACCATGAATAAAATTTAGTCTTTATTATCTCACAGATATTTTTTTAGTTCACAAAAACAAATGACATCAACTGATTACCTGCCACAATTATTTATTGAAATACTGATTAAATTAAATATTAAAATAATCTATAATATCTATAAAGATGTGGGTCGGCACTGCCGACCCTGCCGCCCCTGACCGGCCGCCACTGTTGGATAGTATACTTGAACGTTTATATACACTGGAGTGCAAAATTAACCGGACACTCAGACTTATATGTATTGTTTTTAGACAGAAACCTATTCATCAGTCGATTTCCTATAGTGGTGTCAGTTGGACCTTTGGTCAATACTTATGCCTGGTTGCACCAACATATCTTAAGCTTAAGACGTGCCTTAGGTAGGCCTCAGCTCAGACCGATCGACCGACCACGACCAAACCGTCCGACAGCGATTCACCAAATATTGTATTTTTATTTTTAAGAATATAAAGAATATTTTAGAATCGAAAATGATGGTGCAAAGTAAGTGAGAGTTAAGACAGCCCTAGCTATAAGCAGAGCTTGGCTAAGCTGGAGCTTAAGATCTATTGGTGCAACCAGGCATTAGTGTCATAGAATTTTGAAAGGTGCAGATCACATAACTGCCCTTCATAAGCTGTCATTTGTCACATGTCATCTCTACATTTCCGTCAGACCGGAGCCCATTCTGTCTCCGGCTTCTTCACAATATGTAGCTTCGCCATATAAATTTTAAAGTGTTTTGTTTGTCTTAGTGTAGTGTATTTTGTATTGTTATGTCCAGTTTTTACATTTATGACATTCTACTATGTCGGATAGTCCACAATTGACGAAGTAAGTCTATAAACGTTTATCACATATAAAAATTTTTTTCAACCATAAACTTGGAGTTTTTTATCCAAGTGAATTAATTTTCCTGTTTATAAAAAACGTTTCTTGGCTTATTTCAGATGCCCCTGAAGATGATCTATTGATCGAAAGTACTTGGGCAAGATTAAATTAATCACCGTGTTCGATAGTTGCCTTGTATACC